AGCAACTTATGTTGCCGTTGGCTGGCCAAAATTGTATAGCATAAGGGGGTGTTTGTTCAGCTAGGAGCTCCTAAATCTAGTCTCATTTAGTCACTTTTTACCCAAACACTATGACTAAATAGGATTAAAAGGGCTTTAGTCCTCTCTAGCAACTCTGGAGTGATTAAATGGGACTAAACCATATAGGAGGGACTAAATTTAGCAGCTGCATTCCAAACAGGGCCTAAGTCTGCCCTAGGTCATTTGTCAGGATGGATTCGCCGTAGAGCTAATAGCGGAAATTAACACATCATATCGGCCAAATGTGCTTAACTAGCATAGTTTTTTACTCTTTTTTTTTAGGGGAGCTTAACTAGCATAGCTAAGTGCCCACTGACTCATTGGGCCGAATGCCAGAAGTCAGTCCAGGTACACAACCCTATCTGTTTCCCACTACTCTCGAGCTCACGTGGCAGCAGCGACTAGTGGCGGCCGGCGGCAGCTGCGACCAGCGGCCTGCGACTTGTCGAACCTGAAGTCCAGGTGCAGGTCGTAGCCTCGCAGGCCAGGCCTCCAGGGGAACCACCTCGAGCGAGCTGACGAGGATGGCCATCCAGTCTTTGCTCATGACTGTCCCGCCTACTGCTGTGGTGCAAGCTTTCTTTAGCTGATTTATTGCAATGTAGTCAAACCTGTATAGCTCTGTTGGCTGATTTTTTTTTTTTTTTTTACTTTTTTAGAGCTTCACATAATCTAAACAATGATGAATAGGTGATGTTTCCTAATTTTTGTCAAGTTTATGTGCATATTTCACTTATTTGTACCATATTCTTCCCAAAACCGCTAACTCCAAATAGAGGATAACCGGCAATAACGTATCATAGTTGCAGGAAAACAGACGCGAAATGGATTAGCCGGAGATTTAGAACATTGCTTTCTTATGCATGTGTGATTATGGAATATGTAGAGTGGGTGCCAGGCGAATAGCTGTTGACTGTCTCTGCATGTTCATTGGATTCTAAAATCGAATGAGGTCATTAAGATTGGAAAGTTGACTAATCATCCATTAGCACTGGGCTTAACCTGGCTAAACATCATGCATATTCAATTCTAGATGCAGTGCCCTTACAAACATGCAACAAGTATTTGCTGATAACTTAAATCATATAATTTTTTATTGTTCCTGCAATAATACTGGACGCATGGCTTGTTACCATATGCATCTTCTGACTGAAAATGGGATATTTTACCAGGAAGCGGGGGAAAGAAGGGCCAGACTCGTGGATAGCACCCATGGGAGAAAGTGCAATATCCAGAGCACTGAGAACTGCAGGAAACCGAGAGGGCCAGCCAGTTTTCTTACCATACGAGGGGCTTGAGTTCAACTCATGCGAGGAAGCTAAGGAATTCTACAACCTTTACTCATGGGAGGTTGGATTTGGAATTAGAAAGGGTGGCAGCAGGAAAAATGGAAACAAGTACATAACTAGACAAGATCTAGTCTGTTCATGCGAGGTATGTGCACAATGGTAGTAAATATGCTTCAATTGTCTCATGGAATCGCCAAATTATACATGATGCATTGTCCAGAAAATTATACATGACACACTGTCCAGAAAACTGTATGATGCACTGTCCAGAAAATTATACATGACATGCTGCTATTTCTAAAGTAATGTTTGTTCTGAAATTCATCCTTTTTATAATCCACTTTCCTATGCCTGTGTGATGCATACCTGTGATGGTTTATTTGTTTACTGATTTCTTTAGTGTCTGAATTTTAGTGCTTTCAGTGGTTTATTTTAGTGTCATCCCGTGATTGGAATTTACTACAATTAATTTCCCTTACCTCAGAGCAGCAGCAGCTATGCTGTACATTTATATCGTTTCTTGGACTGTTACTTAAGCATGTTTAGGGGGGGGGGGGGAGATGCAACTTTCTACATTAAGCTCATCAACAATTTTCGAACTGCTGACATGTATGTTACATTACATAATCTTGGGAATTTGAGTCGATGTATTCATTTACGTAGGAACACATGTACTTGTGATGACCATATTAAGCTGCTGCTGCTGCTCCGATGTAAGGGAAATTTTCCAGATTATTGTGTTTGTAACATGCTGTTGCTGCTATTGTTTGTAAAATTTGGTACAAGCAAGTTAAATTTGTATCCTGCAGCTGTTGGTACTTATTTTTTTCAGATGAACAGTAGCTGCAGGTGTGCTTGATACAGTAGCAATCAATCTTTGTTGTGTTGAGTGTACTTATGCTCAATGTAAGTATTATATGAATCCACAGGGTTGGTCAAGGAGTAAGAAGTCGGCCACATGTAGAACAGGATGCAAGAGGCTACTTTGGACAAGCGACCATGGGTGGTACATAAGCCGACTAAACATTGAACACAATCATCCCTGCTCGGAGACGTACGGAGAGAAGAAGCAATGGAACTCACACTCCGAAATTGACCCCATGACGAAGGACTTCATCCAGAAGCTGCGTGAGAACAACGTCCCAATCGGCAGAGTGTGCAGCATCGTAGGCGTGTATGGTAACCAACCGGGAGCACCGATAAGGAGGGAATCAGTCAGATCTTTGTGTGCAAGATTAGCACAAGAAAACATAAGAGATGATATAGGTAAGACAATGAAGTTGCTTGAGGAGATGCGTCACGATGATCCTGGAATGGATGTAAGGTTCTTGATTGACCAAGATGGGAGGATAAAATCAATGCTATGGTGCACTGGGAAGAACAGAAGTGACTATTTGCATTTTGGAGATGTGGTAACTTTTGACACCACATATCGGACGAATCTTTACAGCCTACCATTTGGCATGTTTGTTGGTGTTAATAACCATTTCCGATCAGTAATATTTGGTGGACTATTGCTGACGTCGGAGAAGACACACTAACTTTAAAACTGCATGTTCGCCACAAAATGCAGACCAATGTCAGGCCATGGCTGCAGCCCTCAAGACAACAATGAAGGGAACAAAGCACCGGTGGTGCCGCTGGCATGTCCTGAGGAAACTGAAGCAGCATGTGGGGAACCTTTACAGCAAACACAGTGCCTTCAAGAAGGAATTCAATAAGTTGGTGACAGAGGAGACATCGGTTCAAAGATTTGAAAGGAAATGGAGGCAGCTGCTGCGGAAGTACAACCTTATGGAGAACAAGTTCATGAAGAGGCTGTACAAGAAAAGGGGAATGTGGGCAAAACCGTACTTCATGGACATATTCTGCGCAGGTATGACAAGTACTCAAAGGAGTGAGAGTGCTAACCACATGATTAAGCGATTCATTCAGAGATCTGCGCCAATGCACATGTTTGTGAGAAAATTTAGTGAGTTCCAAACCGATAGACAGGACCAAGAAGACAAGGAGATCCATGTAACAAAACAGGTACATATTAGCATCATCAAATCAGTGAAACATGTCCACCTTATCCATTAACTTTAAACTGTAGGTGCTGAATCTGTTTTGTTGCATCTATGTCATGTGTCAGATGCGAAGGAGGACACGCGTGGGTGTGCCAATTGAGAGGGATGCTGAGCAAATATATACAAGGTGGATGTACGAAAAGTTCTACCATGAACTGTTTGAATCGGGAGGGTTCATCATAAAACATAGGGGTGAGGATGGTTTGTACGAGGTGGTGCACACACTGGAAGATGGCAATATGGAAGCGCGGAGATATAAAGTGCGCTACCATGGAGGTGATGAAATCTCATGCGAATGCGGACTGTATGAACACATGGGTATGCTTTGTAGGCACTCACTGAAGGTATGACAAGCCCATCCTTCCTAGACTGCTAAGTCTTGCTCTATTAAATGTCAAGTAACCACCAAATCGTGTGATGTAGGTACTTGTGAACCTTGACATTAAGAGTATACCGCGTGCCAACATCATGGCACGTTGGAGTAAATGTGGAAGTGGGGGGCATGGTGAAACATCAGCATGGAGGGATCACATATCTACGAAAGAGACGACAAATTTTGTCAAGAAGAGGATGTTGTTGAAGAAAATGGAGGAGGTAGCATATGGGACAAGTAATATCAGCGACGGCGCTTTTACTGAGGCGATGGGGGCACTAGAAGCAATATCAGCAACGGAAACTGCGGTTACACAGACATGCCATAGGGCAAATCAGGATATGGAGGATGATTATGGCCCTATTTCATGTCCAGCGCGGCAGACAAAGAAAGGGAGAGCACAGAACACAAGCCTTCACTCATTTGAACAGCAGCTGAAAAGGAATAAGGCAGTTGCCACAGATACTGATGAAGAAAACCCAAGAGGAGGCAAGACGAGGGCTACAGCTGAGTTCATGGGAGTGTAGCAAAATATGTGTTGTGCGCAGGCTAAGGGCTGAAAGAAAAAATTGGACCAAATTGTCACCGCCTATCAACCTATAGAACTCTTCAGATTTCAATTTCAACATTTCTCAGTCCATACGTGCGTCGAGTAATTCCTAGAGTTACCTTCAGTGTTTCTGTCATATGTAAGTGTCTTATGTATTCGTCATATGTTGTGTGCGCGTGTGTGTGCAGTGCTTGCTTAAGAAACTGAACATGCAACTGGCGCTGAGGGTGCCTTCAGTACCCTTTGCAAATGTAGGTGCCAGGCTTCCAGGACTGTGTCAGTATTGTGTCGTGGGCTTGTATCACTTAGTATATGTGACCTGGTGTTGTCTGTTCATTTAATCTTTTAGTTTAAAATCTTCATATGGTCTTTGAAGCATAGTTTCTGAACTACTGCTTGTGGCTACAACTTCTTGTTTGGTATCATAGTTTGTTTTTTGTTACTCTTTTGAACTGTGATATTTGTGGTCTTTAGCGATGCTTTACATTGGTTGATGCTTCCTTGTATGTTTGCATCTTTATTAACTAATAGCTGTTTTTGCTTCATATCCCAATTTTTGTACTCTACCGGAATGATGGGAGAATATTGCTACTAGAGATGTCGTAGATATAATATATATTGATTCTTTATGGGCCTTTTTTCACAAGTGATGTGAACTTCAGAGAATATTAGGGAACATGCAGAATATCAATTTTATTGCTGATTTGTTGTGAGAGAAAAATATTGTTCGTTGGCTGAAAAAGTACGGCTTATAAGCCAAACGAACAGGACGATAATCATTCTTTTCAGAAGCATCTCATAAAGTGGTACACCCACAGCAGACGGTAGGTGCCACCTGTTTCAGAACTCAGCACTAATCAAAGGAGAGGCACTAAAAGAGCAACTTAATTTACATTTGTTGTGTGCTTGCGGCAGCAGATACAAGTTTATGTACGCACTAAATAAGTACGAAGTCTCGTAAGTGACAGGATCTTCCACCGATGAGCTGCAGAATAGAGTCTCCCTCGTGCTGGTCCCAGTGGTTGAATTCACTCTGGTTGAGAAACGAAGAGATCTGCAAATACATAGACGTCTAGAGTCTAGACTGAGTGCCTGTTTAGCTCCCAAAATTTTGTAAAATTTTTCAAGATTCCCCGTCACATTGAATATTTGGACGCATGCAGGAAGCATTAAATATAAATAAAAAATAAAACTAATTGCACAGTTTAGACGAAATTCACGAGACGAATCTTTTAAGCCTAATTAGACTATGATTGGACACTAATTGTCAAATAACAACGAAAGTGCTACAGTACCATTTCCCAAAAAAAATCGCCAACTAAACCAGGCCTGAATGATTTTGCTGAATTATTCCCAGTGATTGTCTGCAAGCGGGACATCTATAAAATCTGCAGGTTGAAAAAATGATGCATGATGACAATAGAGTTATTCCCAGTGATTGGCAGCATTGTTCTCCTGGCCGGGCGTCGCCGTGACCGCTGCGTCCATGTCTGAGCATGCGACCGCGCGAGAACGAGGTCTGGCAGCCGTGTCCGCGTCGTAGAGAAGGCCGGTGATGTGCAAGTACCACGGCAGATGGTAAAGACGATTGGCCTCGGTCACTGGGAGGTGCCTCTATCGCGTCTGTGCGCCACAGCCGGCGTCTGCACTGAGAGCAGCATCAGCACACAACAGAGTGAGCAGCTCCTGTCAAGATTATTTCTATTTTCAATGAAGAGCTATTATATTTGTAGGAACTATCAATAATATTTTCTTGCAACAGAGTATTGACTAACCCAAAAAAGAGCTTTGATCTGAAAGACAGACTTAGATTAATGGAATGACTGAATCTTCCAGCTGGTTATCCATTTTTATGATGATAATCCTGGGACATACTTGCTTGTTGTATGGTTGCATCATACTACTACAAGGAAGGACCAGATGAATCTATACTTACTATGTTCTCATGGTAAACACCAATAACAGCATGAGGCACGCTTGCTGGATTCAATAGAGGACCGAGGATATTGAAACTGTCTTTATTTTAAACTTCCTCCTCACAGGTCTGACAATTTTCATTGCAGGATGATAATTTGCAGACATCATGAAACCAACACCCACCTCATTGACACATTGTTTAATACCCTTGCAATAAGAAAGAGTAGCAATGTTAAGCTATTAGTCTCACCTGGAAGCTAATGCTAAGATTGAAATACATCACATGAAGGTTAGTCAAGGACACTGGACAGATAGCTGTTTTTTAGGGGCCAACGGATATAGTATTATAATCATAGTAGATTCATGCACTCAAGAGCACAACAAGGTTGGAGGGATTGCCTATGCCATCGAACCATATAGTGCACAAAGTACGGATACTGAACAATTTAAACTATCCCTCCATTATTAGAATCAATCGTAGGCATAGTTGAATGTCCTGTATGTTGTAGTTAACCACTCAAGAGTATAGTTCAAAAGTTTGACAAACAAAAATGTTATTAGAGGCCGAGAACCTTATTTTCACTTAACAGTACATTCTGGAAATAGATCATATAATAGAAATAAACTCATAAGTGGGGAGCATGTCCTAGACATGAGCCTACATGTGTCAAGCATATTGTCAAACTTCAGAGATAAGTAATCAAATGAGCAGCCAGTTTGAAAAACTGAAACATCAAGAAAGCTCACCTGACAATTGAACATACAGACATCTAAGGAACAGCAGGAACATCTGTGGTCTGTGGATAAGTATTCTCCTGATCTATGAATTGCATTTGAACATAAGAATAGGTGAAACTCCATCCATAAATGTTGAGATATGTGGAAATAAATTCGTAAGCATGAAGCACCTTTCAGCATCATGATGTGACTGCTTAAATGACACAAGTTTACTAGTACACGGAATCATTGGTTTGACTATATAATCTTGCATTGTAATCCACACACAATAATTGGATATTAACACTTCACGTGTCTCCTTTGCAATAATAAGCATGTTGTGGAAATAAAATTGACAGGCCCCAATATTCATATCAATCATCCTATAGCCATGACACAGCATATTTCTTTTGACAAAAAGGAGCAGCTCCTAGGTGCTTCACTAGGATAGTCAGATCTGAAGTTTAATTTTCCATACTTTATGGTAACTTGGTAAGAGGCCTCGGCAATGTTGCCCTGGTAGTTTAAAGGTACTAGTAGGACCCTAACAAATGGAAATGTCGGGGGACACTCGAAAACGATGCACTTGTGTTCCATCCTGGGAAGTCACAGTCCCATTTCTGGGGGCACCGAGGGGAGCTGCCATCGTGGTACAGGGGTAGTAGAATACTGTAAGCGGAATCTGGAAATTGATGAATATGGTATTCGTAATTCCAACCCACTCATATGATATTCCCCATTTGAGAAGAGCTCCACAATTTAGAGCCATCTTTGCTACGAATAAATTTGCTAAGCACAAATTCAGAACTAGAGCTGTCTTAACCAATCGTTAATAACTGCCCCAAAAACACCAGAGCAAATTAACTGCCCCAAAAACACAGGGTGAAACTCAGGATCTTAGGTTCCTGCAATGGGCTTCTCCTCTTTGGGCACGACATCAATTTGGATAGCATGGGGTTTATCGTGTGCAACCCCGCCACTGAGCAATGGGCTGCTGTGCCCTGCAGACAGGGCCGGCCTCCGACGGATTGGCATCTTCGAGCAAGCCAAACCTATTTGGTCTTCGACCCGGCTATCTCTTCCCATTTTCATCTGGTCATGTTCCGGCAGGAGGATCGGAGACCAACTGTGCACGCCTACCACTCTAAAACTGGGGCATGGAGTCACAGCGACATTGACTGGACTGAAGAAGAAAGGAAAAGATCGCACCTTGACCTCTGTTACCTTCAGGCTTCCGATGCGGCCGTTGTTAATGGCATGCCCTATTTGATCCTCGAGGAAAATCAGATTTTTCAGGTGGATTTCGAAGGGAAGACACGTGGGGTCATCCCAGCTCCATCGTCAATTGTTCAGCGGAATCTTGATTACAATGCAATTTTCGTTGGTCAATCCCAAGGGCGCCTGCATTGCGTCAATGAGGAGTGGGGTGCTGATGATTTCCCCTCTGAACTGTCCAGTCGTGTTCATATTGGAGACGCCGATGATTACGCTCTACTGTCTGGGTTCTTGATGACAATGGTACACAGCAATGGGTCCTTAAGCATAGTGTCAGCCTTTTGCATTTGTTCGGGAAGCATGGCGAGTCCGGCACTGAATACAGTGTAGTTGCCATTCATCCAGACAGAAATTTGGTGTTCATTGTTCAATATTGGAACTGGCAACTAATCTCCCGAATTTTTTATTTTTTAGCCTTTTTTTTTAGTTTTTCACAAATATGCATCTGGAGGTAAGATTTTAAAATCTGGACCTTTAGCTCGGTGTCAGCAACGCCGGCGTCGAGCTTACACGTCTCAGCGCCATCGTTGCTGGCGCCGAGCTATTGGACTCGACGCAGACGTGGCAGTGATATGTCAGTCAGCTCGACTTTGTATATCTTGGCACCGAGCTCGATGCCGGCTCCATCACGAGGGCCCCGTGCCGAGTCGTGCGCCGCGTGTGTGCGGGTCATCTGCCTGCTGGTAAGGTGAGTCACAATCAAGGGGCTGATCCCGTCGTCGTCCGTGACATCATTATTAGGGGCTGATTATGTGCGTGCAACATGGTAACGAAAGCTCGATCCATGCGGTTTTGATCCTAAATACGTGCGGCCCGGGCGACGCGGAACAAGCATCCTACTATCCGTGCCGTCCGAAAGCATCCACGAAGTCCAATTAGGTGCTCATGTGACACCGGTACGGTACGACAGGACAGGAATTCTTGTTTCTTCCTAGACTAGTTAATCGACCTCTAGTCAGCGCAAGTGTTTTCCCACTGAAACTACTGGTCGACCTCACGTATGTACTGTTCGCCGACTGACGGTAGGAGGTATTGCGAGCAGTCGTTACCATGTTGCACGCACGTATG